AACGAGCCACAAGGTCACAGGATTTCTACGAAGAACCAATCGACAGATGTCAAAGACAATTCACTTCCGAGTGTCTAAGGAAAAATCATAACGTTTCTAAGACTACGGCCGAATACAAACATTCGACCATAGTCTCGGGGACTACACCCAGTAGGTGCACTCAGCGTGCCCCCACTAGTTTCATCAGTTAGAGTCGACCAGTCGACCAACAACCAAAAAAAACGGGAGGTGTTCTTCAGACTATAGTCGACTGCCAGCAGTCGACCACAGTCTCGGGGACTACACCCAGTAGGTGCACTCAGCGTGCCCCCACCGGTCTGTAAATCCATTCGACTTAATCGAGTGAAGGAAAAACTCAAGACATAAAGACTATGGTCGACTGCCAGCAGTCCACCATAGCCTTGGGGACTATACCCAGTGGGTGCACTCAGCGTGCCCCCACTAACCCGAAACTTTAATCGACACACCCAGTGGGTGTAGGACAAACTCTAAGAATTTCAGAAAGAAGAGTTTTCGGATATCATATCCTAACAGAACAGGCAGTGACCGACTGACCTGAACATTACTCTGAAGAGCCGAACTGGCGTCATAGGCTGCCTGGCTGGCTTCTTGTATTGCCTTCACTTGCTCCATCATGACCCCCGCTTGGCGTATTGCTTCTTTAGCAGCACTAGCTTGATCTTCTGTAACGGGGTAGGTTGAGAAAAGCGAGGGTTGAGCAGCACTCGACAACGAAGGACGAGCACTCGTCAACGGCACCGCAAAGGTTACGGTAGGCCGAGTGACATTGTCTCCCTCCAAGACCAACGTCTCGGGTGCTGGCACGTCCCGAGTCGCCTTGCCAGCAGACGTCTTCTTGCTCCTCCTCTGCCTTGGTGGTTCCTCGTCGTCGTCATCGGGAAGATCGATAACGATGTTAGATGAAGTTGCAGAACAAGGATCAAAATTAGAGACAATAAGTCAATCGACTGAAAACGGAATCACAAGAGTCATACCAGGTTTTGAGGTAACAGCATCCTCCATCTCGTGGTCTTCATCCCTGGCCGAGGTATCAGAAGTAGCAGCACTGCGGTTCCAGAAGTCAGTCGATTGGCTCATGAGTCAACCAAGGACAAGTTCATGAAACGGGAAAACTCAAGATTACCATTACCCTGAGATAGTGGGGATCACCACCTTCATCTTCGGCAAGACCTTCGCCGGTTTCGACGGTGCCACTCGAGATTGCTTCAGAGCCTTCTCAGTCGGCACCGGAGAAGTAGTCCGAGGGCGCTTGGATCAGATCTTCGTTGGCCAGGTCATTGAGATCTGCCTCAGTGATGGTCGAGCGGATCCAATCCCCTTGGACCCAACCTTTTGGCAGGCGGGACCTTGACGAAGATCCGCCCCGAGTGGACGCTCGCCCCTTCGCTTTCCTCGTCGCCGTCGCCTTCTTGGCGCGCTCCAAGGCGGCCGCCTTCTCCTTCACCATTGTCGCCGGCGAAGCACGCAAGGAGTGGGTAAGCGGAGGTGAGGGCGGGCGCAGCGGGCGGAGGGAAGAATGGGAGAGCACTGTTCAAAAACCCTCGCCCGGAGCTTTATATAAGGACACTTCCGAGTGGATGACAAGTAGGCCCGGGCGCTCCTGTCACATCCCGAAACAGTCGCACACGCGTGATACGTGGCAAAAAAGGCAGCGCGGAAATCGAGGCGTCCACGCCTTATCCCATCCGAGTACCGCGGTCTGCCCCGCTTCGCGCACTTCCCAAAATTCGGATCCCACAAAATCCGCTAACGGCAGATCAATCTGTCAGACGATATCTTTCCTGCGATCCGTCGCTCGGAAGTTCACTGAAGTTCAAAAGTTCACTCGACAGAAGACAAGAATGGATCAAGGTGACTGAAGTAAAAGTTGACGCCGACGCTGAAAGAAAAATCACCGATCCAAGATACGACATAATCAAAGCACGGAAATAGGTCAGAGAAAATCATCAACTCCTTCCTCATTCGAACCTCGATCCATTCGGGGGCTAATGATGACGTTATGTACCTAGGGTAGGGTCATGGACCTATCTAGGATACCATACCCAAGGACATCCTTAGACGAAGCTACCTTCCAGTCGACCAAGAGAGACTTCACTCGACTGGCTAGAAGACACTCGACCATGAAGACTCACTCGACCACCAGGAGTTCAGGATCTACTCTGTATCCAAACGGTCTGTAATTAAGTAGTCTTAATGGTCATGATGACACTTTATGTAGGGAGTTACCAGTAACGCTCGGCCTTAATGTACTTTAACCCTCTGCTACGTGGGTTGGCTGGGGTCCTGGCGTCCTCCAAATAAGCCACCCCCCTCCACTGGTAGAAGGGTTCGCACCCCTGTAACCCATATACACATAAACCAGTCGACCGCCTCCGGGCTCCGAGATGTAGGGCTATTACTTCCTCAGAGAAGGGCCTGAACTCGTAAAACACTCGTGTGTACAACTACTCCATAGCTAGGATCTTGCCTCTCCATACCTACCCCCCATTCTACTGTCAGACTTAGAACCACGACACCAGCCCCCCAAGCATTCTCCTGTACCTCCGCCACTGCATAGCTTGATGTTGCTTTCAACCTATACAAGGCTATGTGGAGAAAGTATGTAGAGATTGAAATGGAATTCTTGACACTATGTAGCTTTGGTTTCTCAAGTAATTAAAGAAATGCTCCAAGAATAAGGCCACCATCGATATATTTGTTCTTTTATGGACAAAAGAGTTTACATGTGAATTATCACTTTTTATTTGTTGACAAGTTTCTTACCTTTGTGCTGGTCAATTCTTTTTATGTAGATTTTGATAATATATATTTAGCTAAGATGCATTAGAGCATTGTAGTATAGTCGAAGGGGATGTTATAGATGAACATTTGTGTACTATTTGTAGCGAACATATCTCCAATTGTATTATTGGAAATTAAGGAAAATTTTGGCATTTGCTACGTAGCGAAGCACTAAAATGGCATGTGGGGACACGCACATGACTCACCCCCCCCCCCCTCCATGAAAAAGTCCACAACATTACAACTCAAAAGCGAGCGGGAGTATCAGGGCAGTATATGGACTTGATGCAGGAGTAGATCGGTGTATTATAGACTAGGTGGAGGACAAGCTCACATAGGGCGACTCTCATATCTAGCTTGAAAAGATTATTTTTTAAAGTTTTAAACATTTCCTTGAGTAGTTCAATGACAAGTGTGTCATGCAATGGTTGACCTCATCACCTTGGAATTGATCATGTTCCAGCGTGATTTGATCAGGTAAACAGCACGACCATCATCGTTGTCAAGGGCTTAATGAAGGATAAGTGGCAACACGGACGGGCTATCGTGTTGACATAGATGTCATGTTGAACTATACACGGACGCTGCCCCCGGGCCGGGCTCGGGCCTACCCGGGCCGGGCTCAGGCCTAGATTTTGAGCCCGAATGCCGGGCTGGGCTGGGCCCGAGCCCATCATTTTCGCGTTCGTCTGAAGGTCGGGCTGGGCCTGCCCGGAGCCTGATGGGCTTTTACATGTTCGGGCCCGGCTTAAGCCCAGAAAATAGGCCCGATGGCTGGGCCGGGCCGGGCCCGGGCCTAGGTTTTTTGCGTCGGGCTTGGCTAGGCCCGGCCCGAAGCTCGGCCCGGCCCGAGGTATGGCCAAGTATGTGTTGAACATTAAAAATATGGACGAAACGAGCATGTAAACATACTTTATTAGGTTATATATAGAGAGGATTTTTTTCCCGTTGCAACGCACGGGCATTTTTGCTAGTAATAATAAAGCAAACTGGGTTTCTTTCGTCCGTCGTGGCATTTTTTAGAAAAAGTCCCTCCATTTTAGAGAATTCAACCCGCAGTCCTGGTTTAAGTTAAACGAAGCGTTATTTTCATATTTTACACAAAAGTCCCTGTTTTTTCTTGAAATCAACCTGCGTCCGGATTTAAGTCACAACCGAACCGTTATTTTATATTTTTTCGAACCCCCCTGATGTTTTAGGTAATTCATCCATGGATCATATTTAAGTTAAACAAATCCTTTTTAAAATCATCCATATCTTTTAAATCGTAACTCCGATTTGAACATGTTATATATGAAATTTGATTAGAAAAATATGTAGAATATGAATAAGAGATTATTTTTACCTGTTAAGTATTTTTAAATATTATTTTGAAATATATTTGAGTCAAACCAAATGATTTTCTAAATTATATGTATCTTTTAAACCATAACTTCGATTTTAACATATTATATATGAAATTTTATTAGAAAAATGTGTGGAGTCTAAATATGATGTTAATTTTACCTGTTAAATATTTTTAAAATATTGTTATGGAAGCAAACTTATAATTTATAGTGCAAGATCCTTTTTTTCATACCGACGGTGATCTGGATTGCAAATAAATACCCCACTATAAGCATATACGGAAAATAAAACATCGATAACTACACGTGCATACCTCTGAAAATGTCGCAAGGGAAAACAACAGATTTCTCATCGCGAGAGTGAGAGAAAGCGAGCGACAGAGAGAGAGAGGGAGAGAGAGAGGGAGAGGGGGAGAGAGAGAGAGAGAGAGAGAGAGACGCCTTAGGATTAACTATATTCAACACACGTTTTTTGTTGTTTTGTGTGAACACCGAGGCCATCGCCGGCGAGGGTGAGAAGGAGGATAAGCGGCAACACAAATATGATGCCTCACAAAAATAAAAGAGATGGACCTATTGTGGTCTTGAGTGATGTTTGTTGAGTTAAGAGTGTTTGTTATGTTTTCTCTCCCGTTGCAACGCACGGGCTCTTTTGCTAGTATATATATATATATATATGGCCAGAATGTGGAGAAGTACTGATAATCTAATTTTATTCTTTATAAATTTATTGCTATAAGTTCCCCAGCAACGCGTTGGGTATTATCTCAGTGCGATATATACCTGATACGATTGTCATCGGCGTTACACTAGCAGTGATACATAAGCACACAGTCTGTGTACCGAGGACTCTCAACGTGTCTTCTCCAACAACGACCAGTTCTTACCGTCAGACCTCCTCTTCCACCAGCTGCTCCTCCACCACGGCTGCTCCTGCTCTGCACTTCCTATTCCAGTGAAGCAAGATAACTCTGGGGATGGCAATTCTTCCTGGCCGTTTAGCATCGCCAGAACATCTGGCATGGTTGGCCGGCCACGAGGATCCATTTGGGTGCACAACAGTCCGATACAGATGCACCTTTCTCTCTCCTTTCTCTCGGACTGATCCTGCGGTGACGGACCAAATGACTCCGTCTGTCGAGCTTCCCAAACCCCCAAAGCCTGAGAAGAAAGTAATTAACGTGTCTGCCATAACTGAGGCCTTGCTGATACGCATGAGTGCGTGTAAAGCTCAACTTACCCATGCAATTGGATGTTGGTTTAGTACAGGGCCTCTCATCCCACTAATGATACGGAGGAAGAGGACGCCGAAGCTGAAAACGTTGCTCTTCATGGAGATAATGCCGTCACTGATATACTCAGGAGGTATATTGCCCCTGAATGTTTGAAGCAGAAAACAGAATACTTCAGAGAAAAAGATATAGTGATAAGACAGCGTATATTTCGCACGATGAGGAGATAGATACTTTATATGGTAATGCTTATGTATGATTTACTCCAAAAAAAATTCGTTCTATGTAATGGAAGGGGGATATAGGTGTACAGAATGGCGTTGATCTTACACTGTGCCAAGTAGCTCTTCTGTCTTTATTTGAGCGACACCTTGTTCCAGCACAAGTTTAGACTTTCCAAGCCCACCTATCTTAGGATTCATATCAGAATCAAAGAAGATGTTGGAAGGCTTCAAATCCGGATGCACGACACGCATGGTTTGGAGATAAGCTACGCCCTCTGCGATCCCTTGAACTGTCTGCAACGTGGAGGGCCAATCTAGCTGTTCCGACATCTCTGCAAACAGCAAATCAAACAAAGCTTTTGTAAGAGCGTGTTTGTTCTCGAACCTGGCTAGCTAGTACAGTAGCATTCGGCAAGACAAATAATATAATGAAAGAACATACCATTGATCATCTCAGACAACATTCCGTTTGGCATATACTCTTCGACCACCAGCTTCCCTTGTTCATGAGGGCAGTATCCTAGAGATGTAACTACGTTTTTGTGCTGGAGGTGCACTGGAAATAGAAGATCCTTTTCATCATGAGATCGCTTGATGGCAACCACGCTCCCATCAGGTAATACACCCTGAAAAGAGTACTTTCTTAGGAAAAAAAAGGGCGTTCAAATTGGAGTTTTCAGCACTCAGAATCTTGAAGCACATAGGCACTTCACCCAATTTGCACGTTTTTTTAAGCCCAAGACTGTAGACCAATTGTTGTACGGTATTTTCATATTAATAGCAGATGTAAATCTTTACAAGTGAGAAAGTAAAAAAGGAAGAAGGGGCAAATCCTAGTATCTATCCAGTGCTAGTATTTTCTAATATAATCATATGTTGCTGTCTTTTTGAAGTCAAACAATTATCACAGATGAGTGTCAATCTAGTACTTTAATGGTCCAGGAATTTATCATTGATTTTCGGATGGAAATTCAGAAGATCTTGATTGAGCCAAAATTACCAAGATATAATTGCTGGCACCTAAAATCTTTTCATTTCTTTTTGAAAAGAAAGGGGTTTCCCCCCTGCCCCATCTTTTCATTTCTTTGAATCCAAATATTCCAGGACCCCAGAATAAAAATAAATTATTCTGTTTATAGTGGGTATAATAATAATAGTGTGCCAATAGTCTTGAGCAAAGGTGCAGTCCCAAAACAGGTGCAAGGAAACCTCCTATGTCTTTTCGTTGCAAAAGGCACACTCATAACATTCAAGGTGCATATTTTTTTTGTTCTAAGTAAGTTCCTGGTATTAACCCTGGATCAAAGGACACCAGAAAAATATTTCGTGTTTAAGTCTGCTAGTCCTCTTCCACAACCATTAATAGAGAATATGAGCTTCTTGGTGTCCTTTAGTTTGATCGAGTGATACATCTTCATGGAAGAGTATCCTGGGCTCTTCCAGGGATATAACCAAATGTCCTTTCCCTGATCTCTATCGTCTAATGTCATTAGGCTTTGAAGCTCAGTAAACTGATGAAATGCTTGTATGGATAGAGGTATGTGAAAGTGTTCAGCTCAGTCCTCAGCATTGACCATTTTCATAACTGGAGCTTTATCAGTGATTGCAAAAGAATGCAGCTCAGTGTACATGGAGAAAAATAAATTTTAGAGAGCAAATACAGGAGGGAGTGACCTATGAAACTGGCTTATAATTATCTAAATAGAATCAGTGAATCAGCAAACCACACATATGGAGCGTACCTTGTAGACGGTAACAGAGTCGCCATCATGGATCACTTGTTCACATGAAAAGCTATTTGTAGCGGCCTCCAACTCAGACATGCTGAACACCCTCAAGCCTAGACAGCACGTATAAACAACAATAAGTAAATTCATAAAAGAGTCTATATGTGCAAATGCCCAACAGTAGGAGCATCTTACGTGAACGTGATGATGACACGGCAGCTGTCACTTCCATGCAAAAGTGTATCGAATCATAGACGGCATCTTCACTCCTTGGTGCCTGAAGTATATGAACGAAATCACTCTCCTGGTTCTACAATATGAGGCAATGAAAGGCGGACTTTATCCAATTGATAATGAACAAAATAATCCCGGTCCTAACGAGGAATTAATTCCCTGCGATAGTTTAACAACCTGCTACCAATATTTCTACATATGCAATGGCGTATACATCCCTGCAATGTTCGATTGAAGAATCTTTATGGTAAAGCAAAGTAAATAGCGTTACCATCCAGTAGTCCCAGGGCTCAACGGGTCCGTAAACGGGATCCTCTCGTGGAACAGGCCTAGTAGTGATCAGAAGGGAGGTGACCTGGGCGAAGTTTACCATCAACAGCTGGTACGCGATGTCCCGCTGGACCCGAAGCAGCTGCCCGGACATCCTCCCGGCCGTGAAGCAATGGCAAATGGTGCTCCTCCGCTGGCAGGTCGTGACGAGGTCGAGGGCGCGGCGGAGGATCCGTTCCAGGTCCCCCAGCGCAGCGCTCACTGCCAAGTTCGCTATCATGTCCGTGCCCGTACCGCGAATAGCCGAGGACATGATGCCGTGGAGCCTGTTCACGCACCGCTGGATCTCGAGGCAGTCCTCCCTGTTCTGCCTCACCGTCTCAGCCGCCTGCCTGATCGCCAGCGCGAGGCGGAGGATCTCCCTGGGGCCAACCATGTCCACCATCCTTGCAGGTTCCTGGCCGCCGGAATGAACCAGTCATGCCGATGATGACCTAAACAGAAGAAGCATTGTCTACATAAGAATTCGACAATTGACTGGGACAGACCCGGGGGCGCTGCCTTTTGTTTGCGTAAGATAAGATGGAGCAATGACTCATGTGTGTACACGGTGGAGTGAAGAATCGAAGACTTTGAGCAGGACACAACGCAGGTCTACTCCAGAAGTTAAAAAAACATAATTCTCTAAAAAAACTCTCACAAAATAAATTAGACAAGATAATCAAAAGGGCTAGAAACAGTAACGTGCTGCCGGCTGCCGACCTCACGTTGCCTTGAGGCCGATCGACCTCATGGTCTGTGCAAAGTTGGCTAGCCGATCTTTTTTTTTTCGAAATAGCCAATCGTCCTTTAACAAGCTACCTACATAGGCTGAATGAAATTTCAAAAAAGGAAAAAAAAAAGGCTGAACGATTAAAGGTGGAACCAAACATTACGCACAAAATTAGCTTATCTGGCTAGTCACAAAGCAGCAATATACCAGGTATAAAAGGCAGGCACTCGAATTTGTTAGGCATGCTGTGGGGGTATGAACCAAATAGCTCATGAAGGGGTAAAAAAATATCACAAATTTCACTAATTGGCAACACGATATATTGCAGCAAAAAGGGGGTAGTTGTTATCACAAAAGTCAAATTAGGGGTAATAATGTAATTCACTCTTGATAAAACAAAGAACAAAACAAGAGAGTTTGTCTGCATGCATGCAGTTTGTACACAAATGAACGGTACAATAATAGAGGGGAATGAGAAGGACATGCACAATAATAGAGGGGAATGAGAAGGACAGGCAAAATAATACAGGGGAATGAGAAGGACGGGCTGGGTCAAGTGTAGAGAAGTTAGCATTTGTAATCATGCTCTATAGTCTTGCTTATTTAGATACGCTAAACTCCATCAATTTAATATCTCAAGCCTGGTTTAGGTGGTTCATGCGGTCTAATGATACAGACAACTAGAGGATGGTGAGGTGCAATCCTCCCCCAAATTGTCAACACAGTATGTAGAGAATACTTCAAACAAATTTTACCGGAATAACCTTGATGATTTCTGTATTTTCAAATTTTCCAAAATTATTTCCAAACCACTTCGGATTTTCCAGACTTGATAACCTCTATTTCTTGATTCCAAGAAATGATAAAATTGTGCTTTTTCTAGACGACAAAAGAGAACACCTCACATGGTTTCTACTTGCACAGAACCCAAACTATTACATCGTCACACAAGTTCTAATTCTAAAATGAGAGCAACAAGCCCATGTTTAATGCCGGTAGGTGGACGAACGAGCAGCCGGTGTGAATATGGTAGATAGCCTTCATTTCACGTCCAGTCATGTCTCTCCGGCATTGAACAGACGCGGAGATAGAGACGTGGCGCGACCGGCGCTCCCGGACGGCACACTACTTTAGTTTTGGCTTCAGAGGAAGGCCAGGTCCGCTCTGGGCCAGCGTGAATGCAACACATAGAGCGGAGGTGCGTTCACGTGGGATAGGGCGTGAGTGGACAGATGTTTTTGTGTGGGACTGGGATGTCAAACACGTACGTGACGGTGGTCTAGACGCCCGCAGAGCCCCAGTATTTGCGTCCGGTTTGTGAAATTTCAGACAACCGAACTGGTCCATGGATCGATGGGAAACCGCGTTGAATGACAAACTATGTCCGGACACTTGCGGGCGATTTGAGTGTCCGTGGTGTAGATGCTCTAAAGTATTTAAAAATAACAATCTGTTGTTTGCCTAGGATTTCTTTTCTTTTTGTAAATACATGACCAGAATTGATGTAGTGATAGATGACGAAATTACTACTAGATGAGCAAATCCATAGCAAAAATAGAGTGTATGTAGTGCTCCTAATACATTCCAATGCAGTAAATTATAAATTACTACTAGACGCCATCTTAATATTCCACATTAGAGGCCAATCATAATACATTCCAATGCAGTAAGCTATGATCCAAGTGCTCCTACCCGGTGTGTTGGGAGTAGGAGTAGCCCTAGCAAAACAGGGCACATGTATAAAAATCATCGCAACAATAAAAATCATCGTAACGATAAACCTTCACAATGTAACATATATACATCTTCATTTGTCTCAATACATTCTTTAAGCTAAAGGCGGCAATGAACTGATTGCGTAGACAAGTTGGATGATTCTCTCACAGTGACTTTGGTTGTGTGCAACCCGGCTGCAAACGCGCGGCTGAATGATTATCTAGATCAGCCGGTCGAAGAAAATCATTTCCCATACAACTTTAAGCATATATTGTAGTTGCACTTGCATACATACCGGTAGTACGATATACATACATGTATATCAAATTGATCAAACATGGTTTCATAGTTCGTCAAGGCATGCACGCCCAGTACGAAGCTGCATTAGGCCATACTAATAAGCTGCAGGCCCATGCACTTATTGAAATTACATACAACCATGAGTTTTTATGCTCAAACATGCATATTATGCTAAGAGGAACTAAGTATATCCCCTTGCCTTTTATTGTTCATACAACAGGCCTTTTATCGATCGCCCCCGTGATCTGCAGGAAGTCCAGTTGGAACAATCCATCTCCTCCAACACTGGCTTTGCCGACGATGGTGCCATCAGCGGCACTCCTGATGAGGCACGCGCCGCGGCTGAACCCGACGGTGTAGTCGAGCTCGGCGAGCTGGCTGGCAGAGACGAGGTTAGCCGTGAGCCCTGGGACGTAGAGCACGTTGGGGAGAACCACCGTGTCAGTGATCACAGAGCCGTGGCCGAGGACCTGCATGGGCGCCGCCCCGTCGGCTGACTCAACGAAGCCGCCGGGCTGATAGGGCGTCAAACCGAATAGGAGGCCGCGGTTCCCCGTCGCGTGGTATGCAGCGGCGGTGGCGACCACCCAGGTAGCTGAAGTTTTCTTCTCCTTTGCCTCCATGATTCTGTGATCCGTGACACGAATAGGCAGCAAGGACATGTATGCGATCAGTTACACAACCAAAGAAAACAGGATACTAGTAGCAGTTTTCGGTCTGTTCGGTACTCCCTGGCTATTGTTACCGGGAGTGGCACTGCCTACCAAATACCGATCTCTCTAACTGATTTCGTGATTGTTGTAAACTAGATCGGAGACAGTAAAACGGACGGGGACTGCGCGTACCTGTTATGTTCGGGTTCAGTGTGAGTTACCTCACGTACACCATCCATGTATCCTGTGTAATTGTCCCAACCATTGATGCGAGAATTCATAATTTTGTTTTGCTCGTGCGGAGATGCCGCTGGAGCCAACCCTGCTGCTATACTCTCAGTATCAGCAAGGGTGTCAGCGCCACCCATTGCATCGTCGTGATAAGCAGCGTCTTCGTCTTCTTTAGCGGCGATTGCCAGGGGTATTGCTGATGGTATAGCAGTGCAACCTAGTTCACTCTCAGCATACATGCCGATACTTTCCACTGGAGGTTCTCCAGTGATTCCAGTGCTGCGTGATACCGAGCGCGATTTCCGAATATTGCGAGCAAAAAGCATCATGCGGACCAGTGGGTGACGTGCACTGGTAGCAAAGAACATTTCAGATAATGCAATCAGTACTTGGTCAAAATGGACAGTAAAGCCAATTTAAGCTAGTTCTTCTAGCTAGCAGCGAATAGACAAGTTTAAGAGAAGCCGTAGGAGGAATTTAATACCTGGCATACTTGGGCGCGTGGATCATATGAGGGCCGATCTTGATGTCAAAGCCTCCCTTTGATGCGGCTACCATGGAGAATTTAACTTCGCCAACGATTGGTTCAAGAATCCTTTGCCGTACATACTCTATTAAGGCAGATGGTCGAGGACACCCCCTGCACGTATGGCAGAAACGTTTATTACATTGTCTGGTGCAAGGAAGAAACAGGATGATGGCTAAATCTGCTGTAAAGGGCGTCAACAATCAGAGCACCACCAAACGGTGGTATCGGTGTGTCCACGGATGCACTAGGAGGTCACGCCGCCGTATGAAGCTGCACACCATCCAGCCAAAGCCTCCACTGATGGCCCCCGAGATTTCACTCTATCCTCATTATTTCGCGACCAGAGCACCATGGAAGATAATTTCCCCATGAGGCGAGCTCCCGTCCGCCACTGGCTTCTCCGACCTTGTCCCACCTGAGGCTCGTCGCAAGGATCCAAGGGGGAGGTACGCAGAGCTTTTTTTTTTTTTTGCGGGGAAAGAGGTGCGCAGAGCTTGTTGACCAGGCCATGCGGTGGTCGAGATCCAGCCTCGATGCCGTGGTGCCCTCGTGCAAGTACTCCGGCACCGAGGCCGGGTAGCTGCAAGGGCGGGAAGCTGTCGTTCTGTGGCGACGAACATCGAAAATCTCAACTTTCCTTCCTTCGCTCCGTCTTTCGTTTAGTCTCTTGCTTTCTATGCGCCACAGATGGAATAGGAAATACGAACTAACGGTCTATTTTTCACAGAGCAATAGGAACGCGTACGAAAACTCCATATTCACAAGCGAATAACCATGAGATGGATAGAAAATTGTGCTGTATAATAGGGGGAGGGATCGAGGATACCATACCACCAAGATTGCACCGCCACATAAATGAGCGACCCCGGAGAATCGAGGTCCAAGCATCCAAGAAACGGACTTGGTTTTTCTTCCATTACAGCAACAGAAACTTCTCCTTCCATGGTTTCTTGTGACATGTGGTAAGAGGGGAAAGGGGAAAGGGGATTAGGGAGGGGAACACAAGGAAGACGATGCACACCTCCGTTGACTAAGACTCGACCAACAGGACGCTTTACCAATTCAAGGCCATTTACCGTTTTGCCCATCTCGTTTGTTTATGACGCTCTAGCGCGTTGATTTGATTTGATTTTTTTGCACATTAGACCTTTCTCTTTGCGAAATTCCGTAAAAACTAGCTGCCAAACTTTTTTTTTTCGAACCACCTACCGAAGCTTTTATGCATTTTTAGTTTGCTAGCCGCGTGTCCCATACGGTAACCCCCTACTCAAGCTTTTGTTATCTCCTTCGCACCTGCGAAGAAACTACCTAAGCCGGACATGGAGATGGAGTGGACACGTCCAACTAATAGTCCATCTAAATCTAAGGCGCTTGTTTTGTTCTTCAAATGTCGGTCGATTTCGACAACTATGATCATAGTGCGGTGAAGGGTAAATTCCCATTTTCTTTTTCCCCAAATTGCACTTTTAAAAAAAAAGTATAAATCCACCTCTTCTCATGGCTTCTAAGAGCATCTACAGCCAAACTTCAAAAGAAAAAAAGAGCATGTACAGCCAGGCGTGTATCTACAGCCAGTCGCGTCAAACCTGACTCATACGCTTGGGCGGGCCGCCTGGTCATGGTCATTGTCCGATCACGAAATTTCAACCCAAACGAACGCCTCAAACGGGCCTCAAACACCCGAGTTGACCCGCACCCCCCAATATCCAACTCAAATAAGGGGCGGATATGTAGGCGCCCGGGCCGCCCGACACCACCACTAATTGCACCAAATCCATCCCCTAGACCTGTCGACCGATTCGTTTGCACTCTCCTCTCTTCTTCCTCCTCTGCGTCGTCCGTCTCCCAGCTCCGCTGCCTCGCGCGCTCCACAGCCGTTCCTAGCCTCTGCACCCCCAGCTCCGGCAGAGCAGTCCTCTGTCCCGTCCTCCGTCGTATGGGACGTCGTGGCCGCCGGCCAGCCTTCCATTGATTCACAGGCGGTGCAGTGAAGGCGCGCCTCCGCGCGTCCCGCCCCCTCCCCGTCACGCGTCCACACTACTGCCGCCTGCTCGCCGCCCCTCCCTCGCCGCTGGCCACACACTCTACAGCCTCTCTCTCGCCGCCGACACTCTCTTCTTCGCCGCTGACGCCCTCTCTTTCCTCGTCTCTCGAACCGCGTCCATGGCCGAGCGCTACACCGACGACGAGCGGCGGCCAACGGCTTCGGTCGCTACCTACACGAGGCGGAGGCCCGCCTCCTCTACGAGGCGGACTACCCGGCGCCACCGTACATGCGGGTGCCGAGCTCGTGGAGGCCCAGCGCCGGCGAAGTTCCGGTGCCACCGCCACCCTCTGGTGCTGAATGACGCGTCGAGATCGCGCGGATCCGGTCGTCGCTGTCGGAGAGCGCATGACAGCAGCCGAGGTACGCCCCCGATAGCGACATGATGTGGACGGCATACTTCGACTGCCACCACTTCGACCAACTCGCCGCCACGAACGGCGTTGAACCCCGCGGACGCCACAACTCCGAGGGGCGGCGTCAATGGTGGGGGCATCCCCGGGCGCACCCTCGAAGTTGTCCTCGAGCACATCGAGGTCGGCAACTCGCCGCGGATGGAGTACCCGACGGCCCCCTCCTTATCTCGTCGTCGCGGCAGTTCCAGGACGCCGAGGCGAATGGATACGGCGTCGTCGTCCTCGTCGGGCTCCTGTTCCTCCGGGTCGCCGACGCTCCTCCCCGTCAAGCCAGAGCCGCAGGAGACGCCGCTCGCGCGGCGCACCCGCGGCGCCGCCCTCGTCATCAACGAGGGCGGTCGTGTCCCTTCTCCTCACTCCTCCCGCCTCATCTCGTGAAAAAGGAGCACAAGGCCATGGCCGCCGACCTGGAGGACGGCCTAGGAGGAAATGGAGCTAGCGCCAACACCGCGCTCTGGAGGAGATCGCCGCGCGGCGCCGCGGCCGCGACGAGGGCGGCCTCGTCATCCTCGACGACAGCGACGGCCACCACCTGAGGGGAGGTACACTGCTAGCTTGTCCATGGGTGTCGCGGCAGCGACGAGGGCGGCCTCATCATCCTCGACGACAGCGACGGCGACGACCTGAGGGAGGTACACTGCTAGCTTGTCCATGGGTGCCGCAGCCGAGGACCCGCCGCCACTAGAGCTGCACCCCGTCGTTAACCGGAGTTGCAACTGTCGCCATTTTTTTTACTGCAACCTGCGGGCACACAGTGTTGCATGCACGGAACCGACGAGAAACACATAGGAGGTAGCGACCACCGGCGAGAGGTGCAACAAAGACGACGGTGGCGGCAACGACTATACCGCCTTCTGTAAGCTCTTCGGCATGTAGAAGGCTCGGGCGGCGGCGGGTGGCGTAGTTTGGTTAGCTTTTTATGTTTTAATTATGTCTTCTTATTATGTACAAATATGAATAAAAACCTTCGAATATTAGCTAAATTTGTATCTTTTTCGTCTAATTTTAGCTGAACTTCAATTTAACAAACGGCGTCTGGGAGCCGATCTGAAGCCGTGGTTGGGAACCTGACCACCCCCACGGTCAAAATAGCGTCGGCTAGCCCCACGAAACCCTATTTCTGTCCCTGGGGCGCCGAACTACCGGAGATGCTCTAAATCTGGGCTTAGACTACCCACAGTGGAAGTAATATAGATGGTAACATTATACATCTCTGACAAAATAGATGATGTGGCGAGTAATTAATTGAAAAAAGAGGCATATAGTAATATAGCTAGTTACTGTAACATCACACATACCAAAACAAGATGAGTTTGCAACCTAATAATTGAATGTTACATGACACCATATATATATTACTTCTCACTATAAAAATAATAAAATAAGCTAATAATATATGCATGTTAATAGTCTAAATTCGTACCCATTTCGACTAGTCTTGCGCGTGCGGGCGAAGCGGCCTAGCCCTTCCTCGCTGGCGTGCGTGTGCTCAGGAGACGTGCCTGCCTGTGCTAGCGATTTTGTACGGGGAGCACGTGGTTGGTGGCCCACACACTTCAACCTTATCCGCTCAGCGGCCGTTGCCATCCATTTGTTTTATTTTTCTTTTCTTCCCCCAGACGTCATCTCTTCTTCCCCAACAGTCATGCAGCCCACAACAAACGCCATGAATGTTGGAAACTGCAACAGTCCCACGGAGGGGAATACAGCCATGAACGGCAAGCTTTGTGGCCGTGGATGGTGAGAACGGGGCGGGGCTTTCTTTTTTGAGCACCCCATGTCGTGGTTTACATGCTACAACTAGCATCACACTCACACTGCTAAAACCAATTTGCTTTTTCGCACAAAAACGGCATGGCGGTGTTTTGCTACAATCCATGCTACATCCATTGTTGTATTGTTGTGTTTGCTACCACCAGCCCCCCACACTCTACAACCTACGTTTCGTTTTGCTTCTATTGCGCTGATTTTTGCCATAACTAGCGTCGCATCCTGCTACATCCAGTGTCGTGTTTTGCTACAATCAGTAGCACGGCGTGCTACAACCGGCAGTGCAGCGAGATGGGATGGCTCAGCTGCAAGGAATTTTTTGCTGGAACTGGGGATCAAATTTGCTGAAACGAACGGGCCGAATTGATGGGATGATGAGTGGCGGCGAACAAACGGCAACTTTATTTTGCTGCAACCGTAGTCCGCATTTGCTACAACTGACGGGAGGTTTTGCTACGACCAGTACCCAAGGGAGGTACACTGCTAGCTTGTCCATGGGTGCCGCGGCCGAGGACCTGCCGCCACCGGAGGTGCACCCCGTCATTAACCGGAGTTGCAACTGTCGCCATTTTGTTTTACTGCAACCTGCAGGAGTCGACGAGAAACGCATAGGAGGTAGCGACCACCGGCAAGGGTGCCGACCGGCATCGCGGACGGCTAACCGGCGGCATGGGAGGCGGTGCTTCGAGGTTGGTCTTTCGCTGGTTCATGGTGAGTGCCGGCGGCACCGTTGCTTCTTTTCCCGCTGGCTTCATCAGATCTTTTTTTGGGAGAGAAAACGGCATGTCCAACAGCAATA